TTTCCATCACACACTTGAGGTATTCGGCCAATCATAACGCACTGGATAGCTGGCCAATCACAGCACACCTCGCTTTTTCAGACCGATGAGCTTTGTAAAAATCGATGTGTTTCAGAAAGGCGGGGCATAGAGGATAATAATAATAATTTAATAATTTATACATTTAGCAGACGCTTTGGATGACTTACAGTGCATTCAGCCTATACATATTTTACCAGTATGTGTGTTCCCTGGGAATCGAACCCACGACCTTTTGCGCTGCTAACGCAATGCTCTACCACTGAGCCACAGGAACATATATACAGAGGAGAAACAATAATGTACAGTATGTGGAAAATAATGTGTTTTTTGAACCTTAAACCGCATAAACACATTTCATTACACCAAATAATGTTATTTTTAGTAACATCATATGACCCCTTCAAACCTTTTGACATTTTGTTGTCAACAAAAATGAGTGGTTTTGCCAACTATTCAACTTCAAATTGAAAACTCACCGGTCTATACAGGTTGTGTTCATTGTGTCCAGCCTCATATACATCATTTCTGTGGCTTGAGCGAGCTGAATATCGGCAGATTAAAGAAAACTACAAGAGTAGGGGACAGTTATGTTTACATTTGAGACAGCTGTAGCACAATGTGTAGGAGGAATCATTTAAAAACACATTCTCACGGCTTTCAGTCAGAATGAAGGATACAACTTGTGGTAATGAGCCTGGTTGCAGTTTGCAGAGCTCAATGAGTAACGCAGTGTACATGACATCAATGTGAGGAGGACTGGGCAGCTGGAATAACTCACCAAATATCACCTACAGAGCCACAGATATAGCATTACACTGAAATAACATATCTAAGTGCCCATTTACTGCACTAACAGTAGCTAAAATATTTTGCCAAATTATCAAATAAAAATTACCAGCATCACATTCTTATTTACCTCCACAATATGGTAGTTAAGGGGAATCTTGTTTTTTCCAGGGTAGCTGAGCAATTGGGCAGCACTGAAAGAACAAAAGAAAGAGGAAAAAACAACACTTGAAGGCCAAGTATGTAGGCTAAGTTAAAAAAAAAAAACTAAAAGCAAAAAGTAATGCTATCAGCATATGAAAAGGACTGACCAGGTCTTCCTCTCCCTCCAGTGAGACTTGATGATGCAGCGCAGGTTCTCCTCAATCACAAAGCGCTCAACTGAATGACTTCCTGGCATCACTGGCCCCTGACAACAGACAGACATAAACACACCTACATATACAAACAGCATCCACAAGAACATGAAACTAAACAAATTTAAAATAAATTAAAATAAAATTTATCAAACTGATTATGCATTACCTTTTTTTTAAGAAATAATACTTTTATACAAGGATGGATTAAATTTATCAAAAGTGACAGGAAAGGCATTTATAATGTTACAAAAGATTTATATTTCAAATAAGTGATTTTGAACTTTCTATTCATCAAAGAACATGTAGAATTGTTTCCACAACAATAAGTAGCACAACTATTTTTAACATTGGTGAGGTTTTTTTAACCTTAAACCGCATAAACACATTTCATTACACCAAATACACAAAATAATGTTCTTTTTAGCAACACCATATGACCCCTTTAAGATTATCCAATGATGTAATTTATCATTTAATCAGAGCTGTATTTTCTGGCACGAAAAGTTTTGAATGAATGAATTTGAATTATGGTATCTGTTTTAATGAGCAGTAAACTTGAAAAGATAAATCTAAATGAAATATAACTAGAAAATATAGAAAACACACTAATTCATATCAAAAGCAATGTGATGAACAGCACCATTTACCAAAATATTTTGCTAAAATAAAGCATAAAAGCAGAAAGAAAGAAAGAAAGAGAAAGAAAAAAACAGAACAGGGACTTCAATGTTGTGTGCAATAAAACAACAGCAATACCTTCATGTCCTCTAAGAAGTAGATGCGTTTCTTCATCAGATTTGGAAAAATATAGCATTACATCACTTGCTCACCAGTGGATCCTCTGCAATGAATGGGTGCCGTCAGAATGAGAGTCCAAACAGCTGAGAAAAACATCACAATAATCCACAAGTAATCCCCACCACTCCCAGTCCATCAGTTAATATCTGGTGAAGAGAAAAGCTCTGTGTTTGTAAGAAACGAAAACCGTTGCTTCTGGTCAAAATATGTGTCCAATAACCATAATAATGCTTCCTCCAGTGAGGGTGTGTATATTTTCAGGAAATTTTCATTTTTGGATGAAAATTTTTCCTTACAACTTTTCCTTTCATGATTAAATATGGAAGTAATTAAAGGAGCATCAAAACTGCGTATGCATGTATTTGTTATATATGCAGCACATTTATGGACGTGTCAAGTGTTTGAACTATAATATAATATATTGCAATGTGAGATCACAATATTAAGCACACATTTATATGTAATATCTATCTATAATTTAATTCACTTTTTTTTTTTTTGTGGGTAGAGTACCAATTGAAATGGATTGCATTTAATCATGCTTAAAATGACGATGACTGCCCTTGTCATTTTCACATATTCATATTTTTTTATTTAAGTTCTTCCCCTTTGTACTGAATTCAACTTGGGTATAATAGATCTCTTGCAATTATTATTATTATTATTATTATTATTATTATTATTATTATTATTATTATTATTATTATTATTATTATTATTATTATTATTATTATTATTATTATTATTATTATTATTATTAATTTCATATTTTTCAGTTGCAAGCTTTTGAAACAGACTTTACAGTCCTTAAAATTCAGTGAAGCTTTAATCTTTTACAATTTAAATATGTAGTTATCTGTATGTCTTATCCATAAGGATGCAGAGCTAGAGAACAAGCTTATGGTGGAGCTGAGAACCAGAACCAAGCTGAAGGTAAACTTTAGCTGTAGCTTCTTTCACCTTAATATGCCCTGAGGTGAGGAATAAGAGAAAATTCACTCAGTAAGCTATCAGCAGGCTCGATCTATTGCTCCGCTTTCTCAATTACAAGTAATTACACTTCATTGTATTCAGTTGTGCTGAAGGCATTAAAACAGACCAGTACTTTACAGTCAGACTCATTTTAATGTTTAAATAATGCACATTTCTGTGCTGCCTAAGACTGATCACCCCTATGGAAATATCCTGGCTCCACTAGAATACACTATACCACATTACCACCAATCTCAACATGCTGTAAAACACTAGGCATCATACACTTTCTGATATTGTAAGTGGTTACAGAGAAAAACTGAGCATCATACACTAAATGGCCAAGGATCACACACTATACCAGCATCATTTTCATGATCCTTGAGAAATCATTCTAATATGCTGATTTGCTGCTCAAAAAACATTTCTTAATACTATCAGTGTTAAAAACAGCTGTGCTGCCTAATATTTTTGTGGAAACCATGCTACTTTTTTTTCCCCAGGACGCTTTAATGAATAGAATCTTTATTTGAAATAGAAATCTTTTGTAACATTATAAATGTCACTTTTGATCAATTTAATGCATCCTTGTTGATTAAACATATACATTTCTTGAAATAAATCATAATGATCCCAAACTTTTGAACAATAATGTCAGCTATACACTAAAAAAATGCTGGGTTAAAAAGGGACAAACCCAGAAAGAAAGATCACCTTTACTGCAATGCACTTAGCTGTTAAATGTAATTTAATAACTCAGATATTTAAACTGATCAAAAGTAACAGTAAAGACATTTGTTACAAAAAAAATACTTATATTCATCAAATAATCCTTAAATGTTCAACTTTTCCACAAAACTCAGCACACCAATCGTTAATTGATTCAACATCGTTAATAATCATAAATGTTTCATAAATGTTTCAAATCATCATATTAGAATGATTTCTGAAGGATCATGTGACACTGAAGACTGGAGGAATGATGCTGAAAATTCAGCTTTACATCAAAGGAATAAATTACATTTTAAAATATATTACAATAGAAAACACTTATTTTGTAATAATATTTCACAACAATACTGTACAATAATTTGTTACTGTATTTTTGATTAAAAAAAACACAGAAAAACTCAGAATATTTTTTTAACTTAAACATTTAAACTAGTGTATATTAAACTATTTTTTTTCTTGCAAATTAGAGTTTCAGTTGTGGAGTACTAATTTTTGACCATGTGCACTGCACACAAAAGAGCCGTAATAATAATGGTGTATTTTTAATAGCCATTCTGTATTAGTATTATTATTTATACTAATGTATTATCATAATTTAATTATCTTACAATTTCCATACCCCCCCCAAATGTAGACAGACTCTATTGCTCTAAATTTCTTAGTCTTCTTGGGTTTATGGGGGTCTTCGGTTTATTTACATTCTAACCTACTCCAACATTAGCGGCTCTCTGTTCCCAAATAACAAGGCCAAGAACCTAAACATTTCCATCTGTTTATCAAAACAGCTGCTTGGAAACCCATCGAGGGGTCGAAAAAAATCAGAGGACGTGCTGTTCAATCCGATGAGAGGTGACAGTATACATCTCCGCCCACAATTAACACATCTCTCCCTCCCTCTCTCTCTCTCTCTCTCTCTCTGGCTGGCTGTGATAATGCCTGTTGTCAGCTGTGTTTAGCAGGCCAGATCAGTGTGAGCGCTGGGCTGCTGCAGTCGCTGACAGATTGAAGGTTCAGCACTGGGGCTATCATGACAGATGGAAACTGGCATCAATGTTCAGAGCGCGCCAATCACAGGGGACCTGCTCCCCTCATTCGTCAGGCCGCTGTTCTGAACCCTCCCCCCACTTCTGACGGGCGGGATGTGTGTGTTTGTGTGTGCGTGTGTGTGCGCGAGATGGCATTGTTAACCAGTGCATCTGTGAGGCTGACTTTCTTCTGATGGAAGCATCGGCTAGAGAGAGAGAGAGATAGAGAGAGAGAGAGAGGTTGGCTGGTCACTGCTGCAATGCCAGTCTTTGATTTGATAGCAGCTCTGCTCCTGGGAATAAACGCGAAACTTTCAAACATTCAGAACAGAGGGAAGACCCCAGAGGAGGGACAGAGAGAGCGAGAGAGGGACATGATGGACAGATTTACCCCTCCTTCTCTGACTATCTTCCACTGATCCACTAATACTATGCTAATTACCCACTCCAAACACTGCTGTTCAGTCATACACGGCATAAAGAAGAGTTTAGGCTTTAATGCGTCATGTTACGCTGGGATATTTCGGCTTATTGCACAGCTCTCTGGAATACTTGTTTCCGGTTATTAATGAAGAAATTAACCCTAATTACCCAAAACACTGCTGTTCAGTCATACACGGCATAAAGAAGAGTTTAGGCTTTAATGCGTCATGTTACGCTGGGATATTTCGGCTTATTGCACAGCTCTCTGGAATACTTGTTTCCGGTTATTAATGAAGAAATTAACCCTATATCTTATCTCAGTTTAAGTCTACATATCTGGACATTTTATTTTCCAGAGGCTTTTCTTTCACAGCTCAGGAGATTTAAGAGTTAAAGTAAAAATAAGGGAGAGCTTTGGGACACAC